AAAAGCCCAGAAATATTTTGGCATTGAAATGAATATGCACCCTATTAACATAGTCAGAGATAATTGAAAACTTTTGAGTAAACACAATGGAACATATTTGGAGAGAAGATCTATTCAAGAGCTAATCATATAGAGGTTATGTATAATTAGAAGGACTATTTTACAAAACAGCCCACTTGAAATAAAAATAATGACATATCTAAATTCTTATTTAACAGAACATAAAACATCTCTTTGAATCCAAAGAAAACCTTAATAAACTCTAAAGGGCATGCTCTGTTTTGTGGAAAAGAACTAAATCAAGCCTTCTTAGGCTGCTATTGAAAGATGTGATTAGGAGGAAAGAAATGAACTCAGGAGTCCTGGGTTCTAATCCTGACTACACTCCAATGGGTTATGTGACCTTGGTAAAGTCACTGAATCTCTATGTACTTCAACTTACTCATGTTAATAACTAGGGAGTTATCTTTAAAAACATCTAATAGTTCCTATAGGAATCTCTGGCTAAAACTGAAAGAATTTATTGTTCTTGGGTGTTGTCCAGTCGATTCTGACTCATAGCAACCCCATCTGACAGAGTAGAACCACCCCATAGGGTTTTCTTGGCTGTAATCTTTATGGAAGCAGATTACCAGTTCTTTCTTCTGTGGGTCCGCTGGGTGGTTTGAGCTGCCAACCTTTTAGTTAGCAGTCGAGTGCTTAACCATTTGTACCACCAGGGCTCCTTAAAATAATTTGTAATGAACCTCTCTTCTTTAAGGTTTGGCAACTAGCAAAACATCTTCTAGGAAGCAGTGTGCATAAATTACTTGGTGAGAGATTCTGATCCTAAATTAACTGCTTACGTATTAAGACGGACAAGTTCTGTATGTCTAACTTCTGACGAAGCTTCTATTAGACCACCATTGCAGAAGAAAGAGAAAGAAACTGAGAATAATAATAAAATTCACGGGACAAACATTTTCCTGTCTAGAGTTTTAAATGCAAACAGATTTCCATGACTGCCACTCAGTGCTGTCACGGGAACCAACAACCTATCCATCTCTCCACTCTCCCAAATCCAACACATGATGGCGGCTGGTCAGTGGGATTGTGGATATGACTCAGAATCTTGAGTTATATTAAATAGAAAATTGTAACTGCATAAGTTTTCAATCTGAATGTGTTAGTTTCTATTTGTGTTTTTTATTTTATTCGGATAGAGGATAGCAGAATGAGTGACCCTTTGTGAAGAGAGCCCCTTAAGTGAGAGGGGCCCCGGCACCAGCAGAAGAGGACAAGATGTTGAGAGGAGCTCAAGTCACATAGTGAAAATGGGGCCCAGGGAAACATTGCCAATGAAAATTCCATTGTAGCAAGGATAACCAATAAATTTTTTAATCAAGAGAGCAATTTGAAATACTGTGCTTATTATAATATTAAATTATATATATTATACTTTTGTATAATTGAATATGGTGTTTCCTTTGCCTTAGAAGAATCTGTTACTATAGAGCTGTAGAAAGTCTGTTATTAAGTGGAAATGGACACTCAAATACTATGCTCCTGATACACATCGGGACAAATGGAAGCTAGGAGTCTCATGATCTAGAATATTGCTTTGGCATTATTAACCGGTTTTGTGAGCAATGGCAATCCATTTAACCAGTTAGAATCAATTACCTCATCTGTAAAATAAAGGGGTAGAATTAAACGCTTTCCTCGGCTTACATTTTATATTGAAGTAATCTTTATTCCTTTGCCTCTTCAACCTCTAATACAAAAACAAAAATGAAAAAGGGCAATTGCAGGATGCCTATTTATTTATTGAAAACAGTGCCATACTCTTTATCCGATGTTACAGATTTTCTAACCGGAGGGCTCCCTTTAGTATTTCTTGTAATTTTGGTTTGGTTTTTGCAAATTCCCTAAACTTCTTTTATCTGGAAATGCCCTAATTTTGCCATCATATTTGAGAGACAGTTTTGCTGGATATATAATTCTTGGCTGGCAGTTTGCTTCCTTCAAGGCTTTATATATGTTATCCCATTGCCTTCTTGCCTGCATGGCTTCTGCTGAGTAGTCTGAGCTTATTCTTACTGACTCTCCTTTGTAGATGACTCTTCGTTTATCCCTAGCCACTCTTGAAATTCTCTCTTTATCTTTGGTTTTGGCAAGTTTGATTATAATATGTCTTGGTGACTTTCTTTTGGGGTCTGCCTTATATAGGGTTCGATGAGTATCTTGGATAGATATCTTGTCATCTTTCACGATATCAGGGAAGCGTTCTGCCAACAAATCTTCAACATTTCTCTCTGTATCTTCTGTTATCCACCCCTGTTCTGGTACTCCAATACTCACAGGTTATTCCTCTTAATAGAGTCCACATAATTCTGAGGGTTTCTTCATTTGTTTTTTAATCCTCTTATCTGATTTTTCCTCATATAAGTTGGTGTCAAGTGCTTTATCTTCAATGTCACTAATCCTAACTTCCATTGCTTCAATTCTGCTCCTATGACTTTCTATTGAGTTGTCTAATTCTGAAATTTTATTGTTAATCTTCTGGATTTCTGATTGTTGTCTCTCTGTGGATTCTTGTAGCCTGTTAAATTTGTCATTATGCTCTTCTCTAATCTTTTTAATTTCCTCTATTGCATGTTCTGCGTTTTGCGTAATTTCCTGAAGAGTTCAATATACTAATCTTTTGTATTCTGCCTCTGGTAATTCCAAGAAATTTTCCTCCTCTGGAAAATTTCTGGATTCTTTATTTTGGGAGCTTGCTGAAGCCGTCACGGATTGCCTCTTTACATGATTTGATTGATATTGACTGTTGTCTCCGAGCCATCAATAAGTTGTGTTTATTTTGTGTTTCCTTACTGTGTCCTAGCTTCTTGTTTTGTTTTGATATGTCCAATTAGGCCGCTTGTATGAGCTAGTTTGATTATTTGCACCTTTGAAGCCCTAATGTCCTGTCACCAGGTGGTTAGATCTGTTATTAGGTATGTTAGCTCAGGAGTCTGCCCACTCCTGTACGGATTCAGCTCATGTGCCCTGGTAGATAGGCACCAAGTGTGTGGTGTAGGCTCTCACTTACAGTCCGAGACAGGCATGGGTGATTGGTGTAGGCACAGGCATCTGGCTGCAGCAGGAGGACACACTCTGAGCAAGGCAAGGGGCTGACAGCTGCCCCTGAGTGTTCAGGAGGAAGGCATGTCCCTGTTCCATAAAGTGTGCAGATGGGTGGGTTTTGCAGCTGGACTATGAGCACTCAGTGCTGTTGGCTGTAAGGACTGGAGGGCACCTCTTATTCTTGGGCCCCTATTGCAGGTGGCTAGGTGGTGTGGGTGGAGCCACCAGTCCTCAGGCCCCTGATGTGGGTAGGTGAAGACCCT